TTTACACATTTATGTGCTTACACCATGACAATTCCCAGATTCTAGAGAGAATTAGAATATAAAATGCAGCAAAATTCATCTTAAGATTGTTGGAGAATTACATCGATAATTGTGCACAATATATTCATAAAAAACATATCGTTAATTTGCGTGAAATCGAAATATAATTTCGACTTACCAAGATAGGATTTGAGAAGACAAAATAAGAATTTATCGAATCTGAATAATTGAATATGGATTGTTCCCTTTCAACTCACGATCGAAAGCAAGTAATTCTTTGGATCAAACCTTGCAGGATAAACATATAAATAACGTTAATCATTTTCTAAAATCAAATCATAATAAAAGGAATCAGAAAATAAAGAAAGAAGATGCAAATGATGGATTTTTGGTCGAGGCAAGTGTTGGACACTTTGTTTTTAAGATGAATTTGCCCCGCATCGGTGCTAACGGTTCTCCGACAATTATCTCCCAAGATACAACGACCATGTCGAGCCATGGGAGCACCCAGCGAACTCGTACGGAATTCCCTCTCTACCATGACCATGACCATGACTTTGATGCAAATATTTTATGCAAAATCAAAGTGTAAATTGAAATGAAATGATATGGTATCTATAACTTTTCTTGAATGAATAAAATTCAAACACATGTGGTCTATCTATGTAGCAGTTGGAAAGATATGTTAAAAGACACAACTATATCAAGAGATACATCTCTTGGAATTCATAATTATTGGATATTAATCATACCCATACCAAGAGTCATGATCTTTCATACGAAAAGCCACTTTTTTTCCTCAATATATTTCTAGAATATTCCACAATGTTCTATACGATTTTCCAATAATTTCCAGTATTTAAGCGGTTAATTTCTCATTCACCAAATGACGAATTCCACTTAAATAATCATTTAAAACTGGTCACAACCAATTTCCGATAAAAAAATTCCAACAATTCCGCAATAAGACCTCCTTTGACAAGATAGAGATTAAAGAGCATAATCCAAAATGTGTTGTGCCGCCGGCATCTTCATCAAAGCCAGTGATTTGTAAAGCTTCTCATGTGCTAAGGCAACTTAGAATCAGTCTACTGGATATCTATGCTGCTCTTCCCGAAGAAGCTCTTAGATCATCAAAAGCAGGCTTTGACAGGAGATGTGCCTGGCGCGCCTTTGTAAAATTTGCGAGAACCATATATGAGTTCAGTCGTGTTAGAATAATGTTTCATGAGAAAATAATTTTCTTGTTGAAAAATAAAATATGAAAATTTTATTACATAACAACATTATTAGAGTGGAAATTTCACCCTCTTTCAATTGTAGTTTCTGTTCCCTTTTCTTTCCAGATGGTTCTGGCATCAATTGCTCTTGAAGATATGATCAAGTCGGAGTACTTGAATAAGAAATGGTGGTTCTGGTCATCAATTTCAGCTGCGGCAAAGATTTCAACCTTGTCCTCTCTCTCTGCGAATATACTCCTTGGATGCCGCTATCATTTACGAGAAAATTCCTTCTGTTTCGGCCCCAACGGCCAACCAAATGGTAAGAAAAGGCAAAATGATCCGGGCTTCAACAGGAAAACTAGCTAGGAGAGTGAACAGGAAAAGGAAGGAACCAGAAGTTTAATCCTGAAATTTGTGTCTTTGTAGACAAGGTGGTCATATGATAGCGTTAGTCCAATGTATAACCTGACATGAATTTGTTACTTTTGACTCTTTTAATAAATGAAGACTCAGACAATTCCTGCCAATGGAAATCACTTTTATTGATTTTTGCCTTTTTCCTGTATATGGAAATCGATCCCTTTTGTGTAGTTTCTAAGTTGACGATGTGCAAAGAAGAATCAGAGTGCATTTCACTCTTGATATGGAATCTTCTTTAGCTTAATTTCGCAGTTCGTAAAACTTGAATCGAAGGCAAATATTTAACATGCACCAAACTTAATAACTGAGCTTTGAATGATATTTCAAGACTTCAACGCTCATCAAGAGAACGGTCAAATCAGTCGAATTTGGTTAAAAATCTTTCAATAGTTATAATGATTAGATAATGATCTTAAAAATGTGAATAGCCTCGTAAAGGCCATCGAATAAACATCCAAGGTGTGTCTAGAAAATATGAAGAGAATGCAAATAGATGAAGTTATTCATTGCCAATTGTGACGGAAAATAGTTCAAGATTCCATCATGTGTGTACAAAACAGTACCACCTAGGTAGAAATCACATTCTTTGAAACGAAGTCAAAAGATATTCCATTCTCTTGCAGACGTTCTTGGAGATCCATTGAGCCATATATAATCCCCGGTGTGAAAACTCCTCCCTTTGGCATGTTATCACGGGATTTCAAAAGGATAAGAGCACATTGCAGTAGAATTATCGGAGTTGTAAGATATCCAATCTCAGGTCCCGTTACTCTTGTAATTACTTCAACATCTGGTTTCTTGTCTCCACTGGACGCAAGATTACCATCGCTAAAGCCGTGCCCAACAAACCACATCTTAAAGGAAGCACTTGACACTTCATCCTCAGTAGGTCCTTTCTTCCTGAACCCGCCTAGGCTGAAAAACGAAGGAAATTCTAACAGAAGCCATCTCCCAAAAGAAAATTTACCAAAGAGCCCAATAAACATCCCGACTGCAATGACACAGAATATTCCCAACAGAGATTTTGATCCGAACTTTACTCCAAAGTGAGCTGGCTTCACAGATGACCAGAAGGCTTTCCTCTTCTCAATATGTTCCACACTTTCATTAATACCAGGTAAACCATGGGGATTTTCTGTTAGAGTCGCAAAAGTTCTTCGGACAACAATGGAATCCGCTGATGGTAGCTTGACAGCCCACATTCCTAGCTCCTTCTGGTGTTCTATGATAGGACCCTTTTTTGGTGCAGGACCAGGAATCTAAAATAAACATGTAAGTTTCCCAAAAGCACACGAATGAGACACAACACAATTGAACTTTTGACAGTTAACATTAAGGTTTCTAGTCTTGATATGCAACTTGTGTAACATGTTTATGAAAAATGTGATTTCCCATAAGACAATAATAAACATCTCACTTGGTACTCGTAATAAACACAGTTGAAACTCCTAATTCAGTTCAACTCCAGCAAGCTCATAACATGGTGTTCATGTTGTTAGTGCCTATAATATAATGAGTGCCATCGCCAAAAGTCCATATCAGGCATCTTGGAAGAAGACAGACGGTACTCGTAAATTCTTATCAGTGTTTTATAGTGTACTATGAGGATTTTTCAACAATAATCGAAAAAACTCTTCCAACTTAGATGAGGCAGTCCCAACATTTTCAAACCCAAACATACTAAAATCAGGTAACATTATCGAACAAATCCAGTAAATAAATTGCTGTATGTCTAGAACAAATGGCAACTCGAAAAACTTTCCACTACGCATTTACAATGTCGATTAGTGCAAACTGGTTACTGGGTTATAATTCTTTCCGCAGCATGTTCAGCTTTTGAGCAAGGTCAAACATACTGAAGGGACTTGTTCTCAAACAATCTATTTGATGATTTAAAATGTTCTTGCCCCTCATAAAGTGGCCGAGTTGGTGGAGTAAGCGAGTACGGAGGCCTTTGGTCACGAGTTACACTTTCTCAGTTGAGTCTATCGCACAAGGCTTGCCTAGTGCGGTTTACTTAACTGACGTGGTTTGCAGGCTATTACGTCAGTCAAAGGTTTACACAGTGCGCACCCGAAGGGTAGTAGCTCGTCATCAAAAAAAATAAAAATAAAATGTTCTTCCTACAAGTAGACATTAAGATGCAGTAGCCATAACTATTATGTGATTTAGCAGAATAATATTACCACACAAATAGTAATTTAATTTTTGAAAACTGCAATGGTTTCACTCCGGGACCTCGAACAAATAATATCAAACACATTCAAATAAGTAAAGCAAGCTAAGAAAACAAAACAAATACCATCGATAAAACAAATTTTAATTTCAATGGAAGAACCATACCACGGGCCTGGCTCTCCGGGGCCGGGATCGCCTCAATTCCATCAATTCATCAGCATTAGCCACCCCAAGAACCGCCGATTCATAGGTCCCAATATTGCCTACCACCTTTTTATCCGATTCCAAGCTCAAGTACGCCTCAACCGTGTTCGGCACTGAAGGTGGAGCCCACTGCCGGGTATGGAACATCAGCCCTATCTCCGCCGGCACGGAATCAAACCCACAAGCAGAAATCACCAAAGAACCCTTCTCCATTGCCTTCTCATGGTACAGTGCCTCCATTTTCTCCATAAACTCTGGCTCCCCACAAATGTCCAAGTAGTCACAGCCCGACTCCACGCAGGCCGCCACCACGGGCTCGCCGTAGAGGCGGAACGGGCCGATGCAATTGAGAATAAGTTTCGCTTGCCCTGCAAGGTGGGTAAGCGAATTGGCATCAGTAGTGTCGGCAATAAGGAGGGGAATTTGGGGCGGAACGTTAGGATGGGCAGCCCATTTCAGGGCTTGAGCCAATCTTGACGAGCTTCGGCCCGCCAAAGCTAGGGATTTGAGAGGGGAGTTTGGGGTGTTAAGGAACCTGAGTGCTTCCCGAATAACGTACTTTCCGGTGAAACCAGAGGCTCCCAGGATCACAACGTCATAAATTCTTGGGGAATTGGAACTTTTTTCCTCCATTTTTTCGGTTGAGTTTTAGCAGACAGAATGACAATAGAGTCGACAGTGATTGTGTTTTCTGGTTTATGGGTTTTAAAGATTGAGAAGTGGTCGAAATGCGTGCCGATTTTGATGACGATGGTGAAAAGATCCTCAAATTCAGTGCAGGCGCAGCTCCATTTGGATGTGCTTCGTAAATTCCGAAACAATGATTTAATATTAAAATATAAAGAGTCCGACGCAAAAGGTTCCATGGTGTAGTGGTTAGCACTCTGGACTTTGAATCCAGCGACCTGGGTTCGACTCCCGGTGGGACCTCTTTCCTTTTCTAGACAATCTTTTACTAGTTTCAAAATTTCGAAATAAATCAGAATGAGGGCCAAATATAAGAACCAACAAGTAATACTGTACACACATTTGCTTTCTTTTATGATCGTTGTTCATGTTAAGGGAGAAAAAAACAATGACGAGCAGAATCTTTACGGATTGAGATAAGGATCATGATCCCAACTCTACTGCTACGTATCTTTAACTTAATCCATTGAATTTCCGCATTGTAAAGGTCGGTTTGGATACACATTTGGACATCTCTGCCTTGGCAAACGCTTCGTCCTCTTTCCCCAACCAGTTAGACTCAGATCCCGACAAATAGATTGCTCTGTTGGGGTAGATCCAAGTGCCCTTTTCGTTGGAGATATAGCAGCGCGCTTCTTTCCCCTGACAGTTTTTGTAGCACTCCTCAGTGACAAGCTTGAATCCACTGAACAACTTTTAGCTTTTAAAATCTCTTCAAATGTCTGAAGATCCTCAGTCACCTCATGTCGAGATAATGAAACTAGACCAGGGAGTATGTCCCTCTGGAAATCATGTTTCCCCCTCCTTGCCTGCCCTCTCCGAGGTCTTTTGTGCAACATAGCAGCCCCTGTCTCGCCATCCTCCTTATTAACCAATACTATTGGCTTATAATGATAGGAATCTTCCTTCATATCTTTCAACTTCAATGTCATAAATTCGAAGTAATCCATAAAATCAGGAATGGACTCTTCATCATGGGCTCCAGTCTGATTTCGGGAATGTTCTTCAACAATGATCTTGTTATCGCCATACTGAGCAGAAATTATTTCAGCAAACCATTTAAGCGAATCTCTGGCTGCAGCTTTTAGAGGTTCATAAGTTTCATCATCCTCTAGAATCTTCTTACCAGACAATGAAATGGCAATAATAGCTTCGGCTGCAACTTCGACACATTCTTCTGAAGGTCCTTTATAATTTCCAAGTGAAACTTCAGCTCTTTTTGGAGATGTGTCATCAGTGTCGAAAACTGTCGGAGCTTCCAAGTCTATCTCAGTAGTAGCTATTTTAATAGCTCCGGTGGGTGCTAACTGAGCCTCTTCTTCGTCCAAAGACAGGTTCAAATCAATATGATACCTCAAACCAGAAACGTAGTTATTTAATCCCTTCTGCAAAACAAAATCCTTGGGTTCAAGCTGATTTATCAGAACAGCTTTGTCTTTCAAAACTTTTCCGGCACTATTACTGCCAACTCCAGAGCTACTATTCGTGGATGTGCAGAACATATCCGAAATTGGAAACCCAAGAAATTTTTTAGCATCTGTTCCATCATTGACCTTGTCTATCCTGCCCACCTCAGTATCCACAACAGCCATTGGTGAAGAGGTTTCATGTTTTGTACTGAAAGTCTCTGAGGAATCATCAGCAATTTTATTTCTGTTGAAAAATTGATGAGAATAATCCTTCAAGGAGTCGATATTCATAAAATAAGAACTTTTACTCTCTTTAGTCTGTTCACCACTATATTGTGGTTTTCTTAGAAACCATGGTAGCTTTCCCTTGGGGCTCTCCTGATTGATTTGACAATCAGTAACCATGGGATTATGTTGAGGAGTCGCCTTCTTTTGAAAATTCTCTGACTGATCTGAATCAGTGTTCAAGAAATCTTGGAGCATTGAACTCATGCAGTCTGAACTTTTGAAACATTTTACGGGATCACTTTCTGCGCATTGATTAGGCATTTTAATGGAATCAAATCCAATAGAAAAACAGCCATCTAAGTCTTTGCTGTTCAATGAACCTGTTCTTTCATTATTACGGTCATTCACATTTCCTACAGCAAACTGTTGCATTGGTGAATTAGCAATCCAACAGGATTGTTCAGAGGTGACAATGTGATAGTTTTGTTGAGAAGATCTCACCTTTGCGCCCAAGGTAGAACAAGTCTTTGTCCAGAGCGAAGCATACAGTGACTCTGAATTGACTGAATCGGTTTTGTGATTTTGATTTGACATGTTAGAAGCGGCACCCAATTGACCGTTATTTCCTTCAGAAATTTCAACATCAAAAAGAGTCCTTTTTCCCGGAGCTGCTGAATTATGCTCGTCTGGTCGGCAATGCATTAAAAATTCATTTCTGGGCTCAGCTAGGACTGATTGGAACGATGTGGGAGAATTACCCAAACAGCAGCTTCCAATGGAAGAATGACCATTGGATCTCATCTTCCCTAGAAAAGACACAGTTACGACATTCATAACTAATATTTACCGATTGATACGATCCAAAATGTTACATTGTTCATCTAGCGAACTCTTTTGTTGCAAAAAAATAAATACAGCAGGGAAGAAGAATGCACAGAACAAGGGAAAGACAAGACAACGAAACTGTGTTCTGCGTGCACTCTACGTTTTCATCAAGTACTCTACCCCAATAATTACTTTCCATAAAATAAAGATGTGACCTGCTAATCGATTAAGAGGTGGCACAATATTTGACATCTTTGCTTTGTGCAATTCTTTGAAGTGACTAATTCATTCTAAGAAGCCACAAACTAAGAAAAAGAAAAAAGGTACATATATTTACATTATAAGGTGCTTGAATCAAATTCAATTATGATATCATTTTTTTAAATATTAACAGGTTTATATAATTAGCCTCTTCAAAAAAAGAAAAAAACACAAAATAAAAAGTATATTTAATCCATAGGGTGCAACAAACACCTGTAATCTTTATATATAAGAGGTTAGACCATACATGGGGAGGAGGAGCACCACCAACAATGATAAAGGATGGAATAGAATCCGCAAAAACACGAGGAATCGCAGAAGAAAAAGGGACATTGAGGGGTATTTTTATTACACCCTTCCTTACCTGCACCGGAATCATTTGTCAATGGACCTTTTTCGTTCCAAGAACTTCCACAGTTCGTCCTTCCATCAACTGAATTGATAAAAAAATCCTTTAATGAAACTTGGAAACCTAAATTTGCATTTACAGATCCATCGGCCCTTACAGGATTACCAACAGGGTATGAAACAGATGTTCTTCCCACAAACATGCCTGTAGATATGATAGGTTCAACATTCTTCAAACATCCCGTGTCTTGGAAGGAGGGACAAACAGGCATACTCTTACACGCTATAAACCTGAGAGGAGATTGTCCAGTACTCGTGCCTGATGTCGATAGGTGACCAATCACTGAATGCAATGATGAAGAATGAGGGACATCCCATGTTCTTTTGGCATCTTCAGGAGGAACAGCAGAGAAAAGGGGGCTTGAGCGGGAGTTTTCTGCGTTGATATGATCTTTATCTAGTCTTCCGCTTTTAATTTCGTTCATCAGATCCCTTTGTATTTTATAAAGACGGTGGAGTTCTTGGAGCTGAAAGATAAAAACACATTAAGAAAATACAAAAGTTGGAAAGTTCTTGACCAATTAAATGGAAAGCGCTCTATTAAAAGCCCCCAGGGGAAAGAGGAGTCTCAATTCTGTATTTAAGTTCTCGTCTACGGGTAAACATCATTCGAAGTTCAATGTCACTTCCCACAGATTTATAACATTTTGGTGAGGATTGGATAAAACTGGAATGTTGAGTAATGCCTACTACACAGGCACTTAATGGTAATTCATACCTGATTTCTAAATATGGATTCATGCTTCAGAATTGTTTGCCTTGCTACCTCTAGGTCATATTTGAAGTAACCATTACTTGATTTCTCAGACATGGGCAAATAGTGGTATTGCCCATTTCTCAGCAGCTGGTCGTCCTGATATACGGACTTTGTATAGTTGCTTGAATTTCCATCAATATCCATCACAGAGTAACATTGAGGAAGGCATGTATTAGCTTGTATTTTGGTTCCCATTCCTACAATCAATACTATGAAGCAGAAAATTTGACTCCAAAAGCTATCATTTGAACTAGTAACGTGTGTTAACGGAACTACGTCACGTACATTAAGCTGAATATAAACGACAGTTGGAAAATTAACACTCATTGAGCACGCGCCACAAACACGGCACAAATAGTAAGCAGAATATTTAAGCAAATAATCAGAATATCCTGCATTTGGCTATATTTTTTATCAAAACCTTTTCCTTTCCTGGTAATTGTTGATCAATTTTCTTGTTCAGAAAATTTTACCGTTCATTATTCAAGAAAAAATAAGGTAATCTACATTTTAATGATAAATAAACCATTTTCTGATTGAAGAAATCATTAAACAACAAGAAGATCATGCGAAGAACCAAAATTCAAAAACATTTAAGAACATCATCAATCAATTTCTAGGAAAAAAATCCAGAGCAACCTCAATTGTGATGGCGTCTTGAGAGAAAACAGGAAGCAAAAGATTTAAAACCATAACTAAACAAAGGATTTAAAATCATAAAATTGTCAAAAATATAGACTGCACAGATATTACAGGAGTTAAAGGAAATTACCCACCCCAATTTTTTATTTTTTTCTGAAACAGAAATTCCAGAATTTCACCCCCACAGAACAGAAGCTACAGTGGAAATTCACTTCCTTCTGTTGGAAGTCTCTGCACAAAAAGGGAAACAGAATTAAAAAGTCCCAAGACATGAATTCTTATACTGCCATTAAAGAACCTTAACCGAAGGGTAAAGAAAAACTAAAAATCAATTCAGCAGGGCTACTTCTTGATCATGAAATAGAGGGATTTAACATAAGATCTCTCACTTTACATAAACAGAGAATTCATTGCAAAGAACAATGACTTGAAATACCTTGAATTTTGTTCCAAATTATGGCCTTTGATTTAATCATTTCTTGCCCATTTGGCATTAAAAATGTCTGATAATAGAAAAGGAACTAACAGACATCTAAAAGAAAATCATAGTTACATTTGTAAAGATTTTCAGGGTTTCTCTGGAAGTGAAAGATATGGGCATCCTTTGTGGGGTCATTAATAATTTTTTACTCTCCGGTCAACAACGTTTGTTCTTCGTTGATGTGGATCGTGCTCAGAAGTTGGAAACTTCTTAATCAATAATCAGTTAATTGGATTTAAGTGCATGTTTGGCTTAACTAAATTTCTAAAACGTTTGAATGTGTTAAATTATGTTATCTATACCATATTACTTGTTTTAAACGTATTTTTATTGTCAAAATGAATTTATTTTTTATTTTATAGTTTCATGTTATTGTCTTTATATAAAAATCTTTCATAGTTTTCGTTAAAAAATACGAGTAATATTTAGGGAAAATTATTAAACTTCTCTTGAAGTTTAGGACAATAACAATTACTAAGAACTTCCCTCTATTTTGAAAAATTTCAGAAACCTCTCTTGAAATTTACTTTTCAAAATTTAAATGTTAAGAAATAAATATCTAATAAATTTGAACTGATATCGAGTTTTAATATTTCCAACTTAAGATTCAATTGTTTTCATCATTCTTGGGCTTCTAGAAAATTACAAAAACTTTCTAGAGCCCAAAAGCCCAATGATTTCATCCCATAGAATAATGGGATCAATACATAAGTCTTAGTTCTAAATATTATATTTTCATAAATAATAAATTCACTAAAATATTTCAAAAATCATGTGGTAAATAAATTTATTAAAATATTAAATTATAATATAATATACATTAATTATTTTCACCGCATACCACCTAACCCATCCCATCCTATTACTCCCACTACACTACCTTCCTTCCACCTCTTCACTGGAGACAGCTCCGACAATCACTCCCGCGACCACACCACACCCCACGAAACCACCCTACCCTACAGTAAAAAAATCTCCAGAAATTATGATAGCAGTAGTGGTGCATTGTAGATGGCTAGATTTGTAATTAACTGTGTTATCTGTGATCATATTTGGGTTATATGTGACTATTTGTGATTAAATTTATCTTTAGTGTGACTAATTATGACCAACTTTGTCTTCAGTATAATTGTTTGTAATTAGGACAATCTTAACTGTGACAGTATATGATCAAGTCACAATTAGTCATAATTAATACAGAATTGGTTACAACCAGTCACAATAAACACAAGTTGATCACAGAAAGTTACCACAAACAAATCTGCATATATCATAGACCATCAACACAATCCATCATCTGCATCACCTCCAATGCACCACCACTACCATCTTCAACTCAAATGCACGACCACAAATACTACATTCACTGGCTTGTGTTATCAATGACTAACCGTGACCAACTTTGTATTCAGTATGATTGTTTGTGACCATGTCAGTCTAATTTGTGACTATATATAACCAAGTCACATACAGTCACAATTAGCATAAATCTGGTCACAGACAATTACAATGAAGATAGATTTGGTCACACTTGATTTCCAGCGCCACTACCAAATGCTTATCACCAAAACCACGACCATCGGCATCACCGTACAATTTTAGACTACCAACATTAACTGCATCAACTACAACCAACTGTAGCACCCAAATGCACCAAAAAATAAGTGAAACACTAATAGCTACGGACTGTCTTTTCTGTAACACTTTCTTCTCCAGCAATGCCCATGCTAGTACCACCACACTAGTCGACCATACTCATCAAGGGGCACCTATTTATGGTTTAATATCATCAAGCAACACACAATCCAAATTTATAAACCTATTCTTCGCACAATCGAACACGCACGTCAGTTTCAATTTTCAGCTCGATAGTAAGCCCCACGATTGCAAACCACCTTCTTTGGCATCCCCACACCATACCGTATCTATTGCTACCATGGGCTTTGCCTTGCTATGCCGATGCATGTAACAGTTCGTCGCTACGTGTGACGGTTCTTCATTTCGGGAAAGAAGGGACAACTGAGTAGGGTTCCATTCCGCACAAAGACATCGAAAAGAAGAAGTGGGTGGGTAAGATCCACCGTACACAGCGACGTCGAAAAAGAAGGGGTGGATGGGTGGGGCGAGAGAGAGAGAGAGAAGCAAATGAAATTGATTTCGATAGAATGGGGGTTGGGTGTTGGTGGGTGGGTATGTAGATTAGGTTTAATTGATTTTTTGTTATCATAATTATTAAAACCTAATTATTACTTGATATGTGAAATTTAAAATAATCCTCCTTATTTATGAAAAGTATTCTTTACATATAAGTTTTTAGATAATTTTTTCAAGTATAATATTATATCCTCAGTAGCAAGTCCAATAACACTAAGACTACAAGCAACTAAAGTCCAATACTGGTCCCTAATCTCATCTCGAAGCTGTTCTCTCCCAAGTACAATATCCATTAAAAAAAACTTAAAAAGTCCTCTACTTGTAACCCCTTTTCACCATTTCAACTACAAAGCCCACACTTTTTTTGATCCCAAAGTACAACCCTTTCATTTCCTCATCAAAAACCCCACTTTTTCTGACCGAATCATTCCCCTCTTTTGGGGTTACAAGATAAAGCCCTTCTTCCGATGGTCCTTCGAAGAATAAGGGCTATTGAAACAAGTACTCAATATATCGGGTGTTGATGAGCCCATTTCTTTAATGGACATGAGTAATGCCCTGTTGAGTATAACACAGGTTGGGCTTATTGGGCCGACTAATAAAAGAAGGGTCACTGTCCCTTGAAAAATGTGGACCCCATTTAGCTTTTATGTGGCAACTAGTAGGCCACCTTTTTCGGGCTCATGGATAGTATGGGCCCATTTGTCTCTAATGGGGGAGATTTTTTTATTTGGCATATTACTATTCTTTTTTATTGAAAGGTCTATTTTACCCTTAATAAAATGATTATTTCTATATTGCAACATATATCTTAATCTTTTAAACATTTTATCTTATATTTTGAGTATTTGAATATAAATTCATTCTATGATCTAATAAATAAGAATAATCTGCAACATATATTTCATATTTTCTAATTAAAAAACTATATTTTTCAAATGGTAAATTTATATTTCCTAATTGAGAAATAATATTCTTTATTTTTTCTAATATCATTTCTAATAGATTATCTAATCCTCCAATTGAATATCCTGGCTTTATTTATACAAATAATCATCGATTAATCCCTACAATTCTTTAAGATCCTAAAAAGATTCAGTATAATTTTAGCAAAAGTTTAATAGTTTTACCTTAGATTTGATCTGGACTTTTATTCTTAGAACCGAGTGACCTTCAAGCTCTGAATCTGTAAACTGTTTCCTTCAACGGCCTCCTGCCTTCATGGAATTGTTACTATTTCAACTAATTGCTCTTACTGTATCAACTTCTAAAGAATAAAATTCTAGACTTATGTTAAAGAAAAACTTTCTCTTTGCTAAAATAAGAAGGAAACTTTTTGTTAAATCCTTTAAGAATCTATGAGAATAAAGATTTAGAAACTCATATTGATATCAAAATATTGAAGTTTTATTTCTATTTATACAAGACTTCTATTTAGTATAAATGGATTTCCAGAAAAACTAGTTTTTCAAACTGGGAATGGTTTTAAAAGTAACTATTGCTTATAACTCGAGACTTCAAGATAAGATGAGATGAGATGTCCTCCATCTATGATAATGTCTCTATTTATACAAGTTTATGAGACTCTATTACATCATTGAGTACATCAGCAAAGGCACACTTGCCTCTCTATTATTTTCCTCCTTTGACCTACATCTTCACATGCTGCTTCAACTTTTTATTCAAAGAGCATCTTTTTCTATTATTACTCTTTTTTTCAATGTCTTCACACGTAACTGTATTATTGTTCTCCATACACCTTTGTCAAAGGTGCTCTATAATTGTCCTCTTCCTTTATTTCTTCACATGCAGTTGGGGCACTCCCTTAGTTGGCAGGATTCTTTTATAGTGGTAGGATATTCTGAAAATTGATGTATATCGAATCTTGTAATATAGTCCTTTAAAATTTCTGATTTTCCATATCCTCCATTAGATACCAGCATCCAATTTTCATATTGGTACAAGCATGAGAATTTTTTATCAAACAAATTTTTGGTAATGTTGTAGATAGCTTTAATTCCAAGTGCTCTCCTATGTCTGATCCATGATTTTGTCATTGTCGGAACTTTTCTATTATTTTCTGTAATATCTATTTGGAAATTGGCTGCAACATATCCAATTGAGATTATGTGTTCAACTGGATAGTAAACAACTCCATCATATTCTAGACTTATTGAATAAAATTTCAAATATATTTTCCATCCCTTGGCTAATCTAGATACTTCTTTTATGAATATGTCATCAAACTTCGAAATTTCAATCAAATCTTTTCCTGGATATATCAAATCCATGAATCCATAGTCTGCCATAATTTTTATAAATGAAGGGTCTCCTCCTTCCATGACTGTTATTCTGGGATAAACATTATTTTCCGGAGAGATGAAATATGAATAACTCATTTTATTTCATAAGCAATTTTGACTATTTCGACATATTTTTCTTCTTTTGGATTTAAAGAGATTTTATCTTCTTGGTCTATGATGTTGATTGTTTTGATATCTCTTTTATCTCCATGTATCAAACTTTTTTTGTTGATGATACTAAAATGAAATCTCCTTTATTATCAGTTGGTATGTTGTCACGTCTGGGTCCACTGCTGCTTCCAGCTGTCCATGATTGGTATTGGCTTGGAAAACTCATTTCTGAGCTTTTTGGTATATCTATCTCAGACAATATATCTTTTAGTTGTGCTGCAATAGCATCAATTTGATTTTTGAGTTCTATGGCATATTTATGATACTCAGTAGTGATATTCAACAATATTTTTATATTTGAGTTGAACATCTCTGAGATCT